TTTTTTTTTTTTTCCCTTTTTCTCCTCAAAGCCCCAGTAGATAGTTGTATGTCATAGTTGCACATCCTTCTAGTTGCTGTATGTGGCACACGGCCTCAGCATGGCCGGAGAAGTGGTGCGTCGGTGCACGCCTGGGATCCGAACCTGGGCCACCAGTAGCGGAGCGCACACCCTTAACCGCTAAGCCATGGGGCCGGCCCCTAAAACTTAGTACCTTTCAATAGGACTTAAAAAAAAAAAAATCCAGACATTGCCTGTCTTCATTTTCAATGACTTGGCCCTCTAAGTGGCAGGGATTTTCTATGATGATACTTTAAAATTCCTTCTTTTCTACTTCAGGGGGCTTTGAAACTTCTGATAAGAGCAGCAGCCTTGCAACCCAGGTTACAGTCCTTCTGATCTTAAAAATGAAACTGAATTAACCTCAATTATAAGCTTTCACTTGAAAAAGGGACTTAAAATGAGTTTCAGTGTTTTGATTTTTTTATACACAGACAGCAACTCTAGATGAACTGATTTGTTGGATTTTCCTCCCTCCCTGGGCAATTTAATTTCTCAGTAGTTTTGTTACCAGAAAATGTTTGGGGAAAGAAAAAAAAAGGCAAAACAAATCCTGTTTTGCAACTCATAAAAAATGAGGTGGTTGGTTATACAGAGATTAAGTACCTTTGGGATTTCTGTAGCTCTTCTCTATTTTTCAACTGTATGTTATGAAGAACAGACTAGAGTTCACAAACATTTACAAGTATACCTCTCAGGTCATACAACTCCTGTAATCAGAAAATTTGATAATAAAGCAAACTGAATCATGCTAAAACCAGTAGAGGAGATTGATGTCTACACAGTGAGTCTTGGGTAAATTTTTTTGCTAAGTTAAGAGAACACTTAAGCATTCTCTAATTTATGATTTACAAATCTGGATTTCTATATTATGTGCTTACATAGATATTAATATAGTCAATCTTAAGATTAACCTAGATGCGTACACTCACTCAATTCCTGGGGTTTAACACTGTGGAGTCAATTTGAAAAGGATGCTCTGACATTGTATACCCAGAATGTCAGAAAAGTGCAGTTCAGTAATTGTTGCTGAGCAGCTGCTGCTACACAGCTGTGTGTGGGCCTAATATAAAAGGCAGTCAGGGCATATCCAGGCACATGAAATAGTTTAATTAGCAAGTGAGGCATCAGGGGTTACAGTAGCCAATGAAAATAGCCTTCTCAATTTTAAACATTATGATATTAAGCCACCAAAGCTTTGCCCCAGAAGTACTGTGCAAATTCAGGTACTGTGTATTCTATTTATAGGGTCTTCCCGCAGTGACCCTCCCTCTTTACCAAGCTAATGTGGGTAAATGAGCATCCTGCATACTTCTTAGCTTTTCTCCATGTATGATTTTACATTTTAATTTAAACACAATTTGTGACTTCTTATGCATAGCTACTCTTATATGTAAATACTTTGCATTGCTTTTTATAAGCAATAAGTATATTACTTTTGTTCTCTCAGAGTAAGGTTAGAAAATTCTGGAACCTATTGGGTTTTGTGAGAAAAGCCCATTCCTATTTAAACACTTCAGTTAAGCTATTTTTTATTATTTAAAAAAAAATTTTTTTTTTGGTGAGGAAGATCAGCCCTGAGCTAACATCCATGCCGATCCTCCTCTTTTTGCTGAGGAAGATTGGCCCTGTGCTAACATCCATGCCTATCTTCCTGCACTTTATGTGGGATGCCGCCACAGCATGGCCTGACAAGCGGTGCATCGGTGTGCACCCGGGATCCGAACCCGGGCCACCAGCAGCTGAGCGCCAGCACTTAACTGCTACGCCACAGGGCGGGTCCCCAGTTAATCTGTTTTTAATGCCAGGTATATATTGAGAGAGTGGACTCTCTCCACTTGCCTGATTAGAAATATCTTTTCATGTGTAATCAACATGAAGGATGACATGTCTATGCCAGCTCTCCTCAATTTTCTTGACCTTCATGGAATGTATTAGATCCAGCTGCAGGAATATTTAGTCTAGTAGAATAAAGTAGTTCCTTGCCTATTTTCCAAAGAGGACAGTGTTGACCAAAATATGTGGACTTGTTGGTAGCACTAGAAGAGCCTCATGATAGGTACAAATGACAACTTTTAAAATAATTACCTGTGCCAATGGAGAAAAGTGTATATAATACATATAACAGTGGGTTAATATATAGAATGCAGACATATTTTCAGATATTCCTACATTTTTCCCTTCCCCAAATACTGGTCTTCATTTTCCTGTCCCAGTAACCCTCGACTACCAGAAACATCAAGGAAAAGGAAATCACCACCATAGATCATCTTACAGTGCATTCTTGATTTTATTTCAGCTAATACTTTTTTTTTTAGTTTTCTTTCCCAGGCTTGGAGTCTTAGGGAGTAAATCTGAGTTATGACGGTTATAACTTCAACAAAGTCTAGTTAATTGTTTAGAATCCTAGGGCAGTTACAGGAGAATTTGAGGCCACAGGCATACTTAACATTTCTTGTCTATTTTGGTTTCTTGTGTTTTCTGCAGTGTCATACCAGATTAGCAATAGTACATCAGGACTAAATCCTTTCACCCCCACAATACTGTGATCTGGGGGAAAAGGGATTTTTTAGCAATTTACATTTGTACTCCTAGAAATACTTTCAAGAAGTATAAAAATGAATACGCAGATATTTAAATATTAGACATATTTGCGGTAAAATAGTCAAGTTTCTATTTAAGAGTGAGGTACACAGTGGTGAACCAAATTTAAATAACAACACGACCATTCTCCTCTGATGTAATTGTTGCCCATTCTAAAAGGGAGTCTATGAAATTACTTCCGTACTTAATTACTCCCTTACTTAATTCTTGCCCTATTTGGGGAGAATTAAGCCATGAGCAGAGTGTCATATTTAATGTGGATATAGAAAATTTTTCTGTAGCCGTTACATAACTAACTCCTAATTTTCAAATTGGTTTGGCATAATATAAATTATTTTCTGCCACTCACTAGAAAATAAAAATTTTGAAAGTCAGAAAATCATGTCCCAGGTTCTGAAAGACATCAACAAGGATATTTTTAAATTGACTATGATTGTTGATTTGGAAATCAATTTCTTAAACAATTGAGACTTACTATACAATGCTATGAGAATTCTGTCTGATACTTCTGCAGTATAATTTTCTACATATTGAAAATTCTTCATAATAAATAGTTTTCAGGAGGCTTCTTGTCTTTCTTGTACATAGCTTCATTTTTTGGACACATTGAAGAATCGAGGTCTAATGTAATCCTTATACATAGAATAGAGAACACCTAGAAACAAAAAGATGTGCATCAACAGAGTATCCATGGGAAACAAACACTGAATTCCTTCCACTTATATTTTTCCAAAACTAGCCCACAATTTAAAAACAAACAAAGGCCTTCCATCTTACTAATTTTTGGCTTGGATCATACAAGTGGCTCCAGAAAATAAACAGAACAAAACAAAACTAAGAGCCCTTTCAGATGAGTATAAATCTGAACTTATGATGTTACTATGCCACCTTAAAGTTTGAATTTTAAAATATTGGTGAACAAGTTAGGAAAGGGGGAAAATTTGGCTAGATATTAAGATAAAAATAATAGGCACCTCAGCTTAACAAACATCTATTCAATGTCTGCTTGTGCTCAGTATCCCAAGGAAAATAAAGGTGAATGGATCTAATCCCTGCTTCTAGGGATTTACAGTCTAGTGGGTAAATTAGCTATGAGTTTAGGCAGATGAGATAGATGTCTTCCACAAGGATGAGGTCCTAGGGCTATGCAGAAAGGGAGAAGTAGCCAGGGGAAGTAGCCTGAGGAATAAAGGAGCCGCTTCAATGAATTCTGGGATGTCAGCAAATGTTCATACCCAAAGCAAGTTAAAGAGTCACAGATTTAAACCACAACTCACCCCTCTTCCTAGTCCATATCAATTATCAAGCCATCAGCTATCTTAGTAGATTGTCTAAACTAAATCCTTCACTTCATTTCCTTCTGCTTTCTCTCTGACACTGCTTGTTAATGTCTTCAAAGAGTGCACAGAGGATAAAGGGTTAGAAAGTTAGTTCTCATCTTAATGTGATAGCAAAGTGAGGCAGAGGTCTGCATAATTTTCTAATGAAATGGTACTATAACTATCACAGATGCATAAAATTCAAGTCAAAAAAAATTTTACACTTGAATTATTGTGGTGTCTATGGAAATAACATTCTCAGATTCAGAGAGATTTATAGGACTCATTTCCCTGTGCTTATTAGACATATAATTCTTACCTCTTGTCTGCCTTTTACATGTTGGTGTTCTCTGGAGTTCTGATCTCAACTCTTTTCTCGTCTCATTCATACCTTTGCTTCACTGGTAAGCAAGTTAGATTTCTAAGTTAGATCTCTCTTCTGAGTGTGAGACCGAAACATTCATTATACTATATGTGACGTTTTCACATCTCATAGGTAGGTGGTCTCCAAACTTTTAAATTGTGCATGAGTAAATATGTTGAACGTACACCTCAAAATGTGCATTTATTTATAAATAATATAAATGTAGTATGGTCAGTCTACATTTTAGTAAAGCTTTTTGGTTTTTAAGATAAAAATATTTTCTTGTTACCTCACCGTGGATCTTCTTATACATCTCCTAGGGTATGAGTACTCTAATTGGGAGATATCTGCCATAGGCATCTCAGTCAGTATAATATACAGTTAACAGTTTAGGCTCTGAAGTGGATTGCCCATGTGATTGTGAACAAGTAACTTTTTGCCTCTAAGCCTCAGTTTCCTTCTCTGTAAAGTGGGATAATAACAGTACCTACCTAATAGGGTATTGTTGTTTAATAAAAACTTTGGTCTTTGTCTGGAGTTTCTGGCATAGAGCTTCTAAAATGCTTGGAAGTTCCCAAGTAATAGAAGTGTCTTTGTTATTTGTGAGCCCCTTAGATCATACCTGAATTTATGCTAACGAGGTGACTCATGGTGGGCTCCTAGATGGCATCAGGATGTGGCTAGTCATGCCAGAAAGACCAACCATGTGATTAGAGGGTTCTTAAACCTCCAGGGAGCGGAGCAGGACTGGAGATTGAGTTCAGTCATGTGGCCAGTGATTCAGTCAGTTGTGCCTACATAATAAGGAAGCCCCAGTAAAAACTCTGGACACTGAAGGTCAGTGGAGTTTCTTGGTTGGTAAACATACTGATGTGCTGGGAGGGTGACATGCCCTGCTTCCACAGGGAGAGGGCACAGAAGCTTTGAGTTTGGGACCCTCCTAGACCTTATCCTGTGTGTCTATTTGGCTGGTCTTGATTTATATACTTTATAATAAAACTATAATTGTAAGTATCGTGCTTTCCTGAGTTCTGTAAGTTGTTCTAGTGAAATGTGAAACCTGAGGGAGTCTTGGGAACCCCTGAATTTGTAGCCAGTTGGTCAGAAGTGCAGGTGGCCTGGGGACCCCCCCATTGGCTGATGTCTTTTTTAATTTTTTTTTATTATTTTTTATTTTTTTTTGTGAGGAAGATCAGCCCTGAGCTAACATCCATGCTAATCCTCCTCTTTTTGGTGAGGAAGACCGGCTCTGAGCTAACATCTATTGCCAATCCTCTTTTTTTTTGTTTCCCCAAAGCCCCAGTAGATAGTTGTATGTCATAGTTGCACATCCTTATAGTTGCTGTATGTGGGACACGGCCTCAGCATGGCTGGAGAAGCGGTGCATCGGTGCGCGCCCGGGATCCGAACCCGGCCGCCAGTAGCGGAGCGTGCGCACTTAACCGCTAAGCCGCGGGGCCGGCCCTGTGATGTCTTAAGTAAGGGCAGTCTTAAGGGAACCATGTCCTCAAACCTGTGGCATCTGATGAGAGCTCTAGGTCTTTAGCATCAGTATTGAATTGTTTTGCAGTACACCAGACGGTGCCAAAATAGGTATTTATTAATATTAAATGAGATAATGATATATAAAAGTGTGGCTTGCACATAATAAGCACTCATTAAGTGTTAGCTGTTATTGTTTTGTCCAATATGCACTCATCCTCCCATTAAACCTGTTCTTTCTTCTAGGTTCTTTATATTTGTGAAAGGCAAAACCTTTCATCCGGGTGCCCAAACCAGAAACCTAGGAATCATTCTTGATTCCTCCTTCCTTACGTTTCCCAGTCACTTAGACGCCAAGTCCTCAATATTTCTAGAAGTAATCTCCTCTTTTCTGTTTCCACTGCCACTGCCTTAATTCAGATCCAATTCATCATCTAATTGGCTTCCCTGTCTTTATTTTCTCCCTTCCTTTGAAAATCATCTCTAATCGTTTTCTTTTTCCTCTTAAAATTTTTTTCATGGTGAAATATAATATGCATGGAAAATAGTACATAAAACTTAAATAACCAGATTAACAAATAGTTGTAGAGTGAACACCTGTAATTATGGGTCAAAAAATAGAACACTGCAGGCATCCTAGAAGCCCCCCAGGTTTCCCTTTCTGATCATATCCCCTCTCTTTTCCATAGGTAACCACTGTTCTGAGTTTTATGCTAAGTTTTCTTCCTTGTCTTTATAGGGTGACTGTCGGTTCAGTATTC